ATATCTGCACATCGTTTGTATATTTATTGTTTCTTGGTAATAATTAATTCGATAAGTGATTATTAATTAATTATCATATGGTTACGAGAATTTTGTATTGCAAAAGTGAAAGATCTAAGAAAAGGAATGAATCATTGAAAAGATTGATAGAAAAAGGAGAAGGGTATTACAAATATATATATATATTTTTTTTTTGGAGCTATTATCAATTGTTTTGAAAAAAATCTTCTTAACGAAGAGATATTGGTCGTGATGTGGAGATGTGTAAATATATTTTTTTGTACTCATTGCCTTCGAAAAATCTTTTAAACGATTTTTTAAAGAGGAGGGAAAGAAATATAACGACTTTAAATATCAGTCGCGATATTTGCTCGAAGATGTCGTGGACCAGTTTGAAAGCCCGAAACTCGAGGCCTGGTAAAAGTAAGAAGAAAGTAGCAGCGGCGGCTAGGTAGCCTCACAAAGGTACCTGTTATATATACAGGGTGACCCAGGATAAATTATACACGCGACCAACAGATGATTCTACATGGAAAAATATCTTTCAAATAATTGAATATAATAATATATATTTTATCCTTATTTATCGTATTAAAATCGTGTGTCAATTCTAAGAAACAAATAGAAATAAATCGGTATTGTTCCGTTCGTACTATAAAAAAATATTTCTTCTAATAACTTGCGATATTTATTTACAATAATTTCGAATCATAAGAGAAAGAAAGAAAAAAAGAAAAAAATGTAATTTCCCCCTCATTTTCATTTCATTTTTTTTCACCATACCTGCCTACTCATACCTGATTCATCCTGTACACACACACATATAATGGAAAGTCTGTATTCATCTCCAGGGGATGACCTAACCCGACCTGAATAGTCGTCCGCAAGGTTAGGCCGCCGGTGTGTGCAAGTGCACCTCTTTGAAAAAAGGTCGAGCCCGCCAAGGGGTGAGTCATAGGGCGGCGGTCGTGGCGTTTTTCATCTATCGACCTGCGGGTAGAGAAAACGCAGGATTGGTCGTGGGGAAACTCGGCCCGATTCGTACAACCGTCGTGTGTATACGGTGACCGTGGGGGGCTTTGCTCGCCGAGAAATCGATTCTAGATAATGGGCTATAATTTCATTCGCGTACCACCGGTTGATAATCGAACAGCTTCGATCGTCGAAACGGAACACGCTACTTGAAATTCTATTTACACTTACTTCACGCGCCTCTTGCGGGGTTGTTTGCCTTTGCGCGTTGTTTTAATAATCGCTGTTCTACGTGGAAAGTTAAATTATTTCCCGAACTAGTTTCAAACTGGACAATTTGGAAAATATCGAAAATTGGATGAAAATGTAGGTTTAATATTTAATGCATTTTATTCTGAAAGATTTTTTTTTTATCCTTATTAAGGATCCACGTTTTATGGAAATCTATGGGTATATTATATCTTTCCTTATCTTTCAGTGAAATAAATGTATAATTATGCAAATCGTCTTCGTTCGGAAAAATTTATGTCATTTTCACGCGTGTTTTAACACGTGCACTTACAATTCTCTCGTCTTAATTATCATAATTACTTTTACCATTAATTTCTCAATTGATCATAATCAAGATTTATCGTAAATAATAAATGTTAATCATAATGTAACAGCGTAACTTTTACCAATTTCGCCTCTTAATCCTTGAATACTATTTAATCCAAAAAGTAAGCGTTACTTTTTCACGCATTTTTCCCTATATATCAATATTCGTTTTTCGTATCTTTCAATTGCGGCAATATCCTGTTCCGAATGTAACGTGTTTCCCTTCGATTTACGTAATATTCGTGTTTTCTCTTTGATAAACGACGAGGCCTAATGCCAGAGTCCATTAATTAAACCGTCGATATCGAAAACGGTGTGAAAATAAAATCGCAGATAGAAAAGAGGGGATAGAAGGAGAGGCGGTTCGAACGAAAAAAAAAAAAAGGATAAAAATGATAGCTTTTCCTGTTACGTTCGAGAGTCCAAGTCAAATTATCACCCTGCACTACTAGTTCTCCGTTATTTAGCTGCGAATCGTGTCGATCGCGTACAGTTATCACAATGAGAAAGTCGCGAGGAGAAAAATTACGTTTTACACGATGGATCGCCGATAGATGGATTTGCGATCGGCTCCGCGACACACATACGTTCGATTTAACTGGATATCTGATTTAAACGTGTATCGGTGCCAATAGTATCGTATCACTCACTTCTGTGTATCGCTACGCGTGCGAGTATCATATTATACTTGGTACGATTAGCTTGATCGCCCGGATATTCCTGTTTGCGACGACAAAACGAGGTTGTCTCGAATCGATACAAGCTAAGTCTTCCTCCGCGACTTCGTAACATTAGATTGTGTTGACTTTGGTCAACTCACAGATGTTACAACAATTTTTGCACAGTGGCTACATTTTATACGATAACGTACAATCTTCTTACTAAGATCAGTGATTAAAGTGAATAATAAATAATAAAATATTTATTAATAAAATTCGAATTAAATATACTATGTGTAATTATATTATCGATAGATTTATATAATGCAGTTGAATGCTAGTAGGACCCTTTTGGAGGGGAGAGTCAATTTTAGAGGCCAAATGCAATGTGTAAAAATTGGAGTACAAAAATATGGGTCGAGGCTTATTTATTAAGTTATAACCAATTTAAGTGTGCAGTTAGACGAAGCAAGACGGAGATAGAATGGTAGAAGTGTGACAGAGATAGAGACGTCTCATTCTATTTCCATCTCGCTTCGTCTGACTATTTATAATTCAATAAATTCAAGCCCTCATCGATACTTTTGTATATTAAATTCTGTGCGTGTTTTGGCATCTAAAAGAAAACTCTCCAAAGAGTCGAATCGAATATATCAACCTCATCCTGTATATTATAATACATCTCATAAGAGAGATTTTATAATTATAATAAATTAATCAACTTAAAGAACGCAGCTTCTCAAATAATGAAAGAGTCCAAATAAGAAGAATAAAATCACATATATGTACACTTTAATTTAGAAAATTAAAGTGTATTTTATAAAAAAAATAAACGAGTACTTAGATATTTTTGAATATTAATAAAATGATGTAAAATAGGATTTTAGAACATAGTAATAAACTTAATTAAATTTAGCCCACACGGATGATTGAAACGCAACGTGACTTCATAATGATACTATATCATATCATAGCATGTTTAAAGTACATAACGCAGAGAATGGTCATCAACCGTCGATTAATTAACTGTGAAACTATACGATCTGATGACTTGCGCTTTCTATCTTTGTTTTCCATATTTTACAACCACCGTGAGATGCTTCTACGATATTAACTAATTACCTTAATGCGCCCTGAGAGACCCAGATATATCCTGGACATGTGACATCGATGCGTCAAGAGATCTCGTTTCGTTTTTTTTTCTTCTTCTTCTTTTCCTTTTTGCACGGTTGGATCCTCGAGATGGGGATCTCGGGAAAGGAAAGAGCCATCGATCAACCATATCTCTCTCCTGTACGCACATGGACACGCGTGTGACTGCCAACGTCTCACAATCAGTGCGTGGCCCTTGAATGGCTACTTGTTAGAAATGAAAGTAACGCGTTTCGAATGCCAAGAGAGTATAGGCGACTCGATCAGCCTTCCCCTCCCCCGCCGCCGTTCTTTCCACTCTCTTTCCCTGAACACGATCCGAGTTTAAACGTTGTCGTTGCTCGATACCTTAGATTTGTCCTTAAGCCGCGACTAAGCGTAAATATTGAAAGGCCAGGATCGTCCTTGAACGATTAAGCTTCCGTAACACCAGCCACGTTTCTTCGTTTTCTTTCGCGTTCCCAGAACCTTGAGCAATTTCTTCGTGTCGCAGCCGTTTTACGTTTTTAGTTAATCGCTCTCACGCGAGGCGAATCATTTTTCATCCGAGAATACGATATTCCAGGATCAGAGTACAACAAGTACAACCAACGTTTCATCTCCATTTACGTGAATGAATCGGACGTTTCGATTGATGACGGTTGGCACGCGTGGCGTTGCTGAAAGAAAAGGGGTCGTAAAGTCTAAGTTACTCACGTGTTTCAAACGTCTGGCAGAAATGTTATTTACGACAGTTTACCTTAACTTAACTCCTCTCGTTGAAACGCATAAAATACCATGTTCCGATCTGTATATTATTTATAGATGGCACTGTATACAGTGCTTCGATTTACAATCATGTTATATGTAACACGTGTTTTATCGATTGTAGGTAAATCGTGCAAAGATGTCTCCACGTGACGTGTATTTTACATGTTTCATTCAGGAGGCTCGGTCAGGATATGAATGAAAATTCGTCAGAGGAAGAAGTAACAGGTCGAGATTGTATGGTAGAGAGAGATTCATGTGCCTGATAATATGGGTAGAACCGATGGATCACTGGTGTTCGACCAGTCGCGGGTGCACGTTGCGGCAACAGAGTCCAGTTTCACTTTTCGTGCCGAGCTGCTAAACGGCCAGAAATCTTTCTACCGGCAGCCTTGCGAAATCTCTCATTGTCCCGAGGTGTGTGACGCGTATGTGTGCACGAGAGTGTGTGTTCGTGTCAAGAGGTTTTCTCAGTTGTCGATTGCACTGAATACTTGGCTGAAGCGAAAAAATTGAACGATTATTTTTTGATTAACAGGATTAATATCTGTCAAATGAAATTTTGAAGCATTACCAATTTTAATTCGATTCCTTTTTAAAATTATATTATTAATTATAATATCTTTTTTCTTAGTTTTATATATATTAATTTATTAATATTTAATACTATGAATAGATATATAATCCATGAACAACAGTTACGTTTATGGAACGATATTCTTTTAGTATACTTCGGTAGAAAAATTTGTTATGATTGAACTTATTTAAAAAATATTTATAAAATCAATAATTTAGATTTTTTTATAGCTGAAATACCAATACAGAAAGCGTTAGAAATTAACAGTACAATAAAATTTTGCTTTTATATGTTATCTTAATACATACACTGTTCGGCTGTCTCAGCAAGAAAAAAATTTCTTTTTTTTCCCCTTTTCGGTCTCTTGAAGATCCTAAAGCAATTCTCCTCGCTCATTTTATTTTCGTCTTTTTGTTACAGGACCAGTACGAGAATCTATCCCTGCATACGCAAAAAGGGATAGAGTTCCTCGAAAGGTACGGCCATTTCATTCGCGATCGATGCGCCATCGAGGTGGAATATGCGGCTAAACTCAGGTAAGAAATATATACTTAGGGAAATTAGAAGTTTCTTCTCGATATTGCGTGCATACATTTCTCGTGAGATTTATGCTCGTTGGCTGTCTTTGTTCGACATCGATGCCTCTCTTTTTTATTATATAAATTAACAAAGGGCGTAGTATCCGAGGTTAACGATTTCAATAGGACATCCTGTATAATGAGCGTGTCTCACGCACCCCACGAGTTCACGGACACAAGATGTAGCCAGTAATATTGTATTAAAGGGCCCCCTTGTTTGTTCCGTGAATGCCATCTACTGTTGCACACTTTTGTTCTATCGGGTGTCTCGAAGTGAGCTTATTTTCGTCTTTTTATCGCCTCATATTTGATAACAAATATTTAATAAGAGACAAAACGAGAAAAGAAAGCTGATAATGTAGAATTGTTTTGTTATTTAGATCAAATGTCTTTAGTGTTTTTTGAGACAAAACGTTTTATGTTGGTACACCCTTCTTTGGTGTTAATAGGAATATCATATTTTATTTCTAAAAACAAATTATATTAGATTCGATAAAAATATTAGCAAAATATTGAAACATTATTTTAGATAATATGAAATTTAATAACACAATATCAAAGATTTTAATATTGCTTCTAAACATAAAGTAATAACAGTGTCTAACCAAATTAAATTAAACAAAGCAGATTGTATAAATCTGCACTTACCTAACGAATCTTTAATTTCTTTTCTGTTCTCTTCTTTTTCTAATTCATTTTGATTTTTTTATCTTGATTTCATAAACACCCTGTACATGATGAATGTTAAAAATTATTATCACAAAATTTCCTGTATAAATACAATCCTATATAAATACTTGCAAATAAAAATAACTCTAATGACTATTATTTCACGATCTTCTTAGGATGTCGTTATCTATAGTAATTGAAAAACAGTGATTTAGATAATCAATATTGCATTATATTTTCTAAGAAGAATCATTTAAGTTGGACCGATTGATTCCACATTCAAAAGTAGTAATACTCTTGACTCGAGATCACGATGTTTTAATCCATTCTTTTGTCGCGTGATGTATCTTGGTCCGTAATCGAGAAAATGAGGCGCAAACAGAAGCTTTACAAAGACGTGATTTCTTTTGAATCTGGCAGAGTTTAATTGCCGCGGCCGATTATCGTTGTCCCTTAATCAGTTGGCGCATGTGAAGCCTAGAGGAATGATTCCGCGTGCTCGTCACACATCTATCCCAGACACGTTCGTTCCACTGCATATAAATTATCACGGGCACGTTCCTCGCCTTAATGCGTCGTAATTTTAACGATACATGCTCGTGTTACTCGTACAAATGGAGTACCGTTTTATCGTGTGGCAGTTTCCCTCGATGCACCGTTGATTTTCATTAAAAGCATTCCGAACACCGTAAAATACGGTTATATATTCTTTAAATCTAGCGCACTTAATTTCTTCGAGTTTCTCGGTTAGTTAGAGAAGTTCGGTGCAATGCTCGATGAATTATCCTTTACTAACCTAGATTCTAGAAAGAAGAACCGTGAATCGTGCGGAAATACTTTGTCCAGACACTTTTCAGTTTCATCAATCTCTCTCTTTTTCTCTCTCTTTCCCTTTTTAGTCGACGTTTTAAACGAAGATCCCTTACAACAATTATATTTTTCAAAATTAATTACTTTCACATGATTAAAACGGACCATTCACTTTCGGATTAGAGTTGTGACTATTGATTATCGATATTTTATCGACATTGACACTTTTCGATATATCGATAATATATCGATAGAAGTGAACGAAGTTTCTATTTTTTCTTATTGAAAATTATTATTAAGATCTAAAAATATTATTACATGTAATAAATTGCAATAAAAATAATTTTTAATAATAAATTTGAATAAAAAAAATATTTTAGTTACTTTCATTTATTATCGATATGTTGACGATATATCGAATTATCGATAATATACCGACATTTATCGATAGTCACAACTCTATTTCGACTCCTACGCTTTCGCGGATTACAGTTTAAGAATATTTAATGTAAACATGGCGACAATATGTCGAATCGGTTTGAAAATAACTTTCCCAATTTTTAGACAGTAACCCAGACCTAGGAAAGAGGAATTTAAGCGGACTCGAAAATAGCTTTTCCAATCTGACACACGCGCCACGTACGTTGGACTTGCCTCGTGGTTGAAGGCTCGCGTTTCTCGGTATTTTAGAAATCGGTTAACGTTTTCACAAACCATTTTCCGGTTTCGAGGCACGTCGATGCCCGGTAAAAACGTATGGTTGATCTGGTATCAAGGACACGTCAACTTCCGGATGATAATGCATTTAGCCGGCACACATTTTATCGCTCGTTCGTGGCCCCGAGTGTTCAAATTAGAATGACTCGGACGTAGTTATTTCTTACTGCACGAATGACTAAACGCAATCTATGTGTATGGAATTCTGGTGTTGAATGTTCCGCTTTGCTTTAAAACTTAAGCACGATTATCATTGTCGCATAATTTCGTAACGTTCTTTCGTGATTTCTTTCTTTCGTTTACCGCTATGGAAGTTCCAATTTTCATATTGCTAACAACAGGAACGTGCAACTCGCTGAAGTGAGAACGGTCTGAAAATAACTTTAGACCGCAGACAGCTAAAAAAGGACGGGCACAAAATCTTGTTGAAACAAAAGATTATTTTTTTCTCTCCGATATTTATATTAGTCATGAACAATAGTCATTTATTTTCCTTAATAAGGAATAGGTAGGTTGCATAGGTTATCCTCCAGATTGGTTATTACCTTCAGTTCGATAATCTTGTTTCGTTTTTGATTGCAGACGTCTTGTGAAGAGCTATCAACCTAAGAAGAAAGAGGAGGAGGATTATCAGTGAGTATGAGCCAACTTAGAGGCGTAATACCGGATCCACGCTTCGTAGTAATGTTTCTTGACATGAATAATACTTCAAAATAATTTTAAAATACATTCTATATTTTAGTAGAACATTTTCAGCCAGAGACAAATCTGTCAACTATTATCTCAATTAGGGTAATTTGAATCTCTCGCAATTGAATATTTCGCTGTAACATTCAGTTTAAATTGTTTTAATAATAGAAAATATTTTCAATATTAATCTTGATATCCATATAATTTTAAATATTTTAAATATATTTAGAATGATATAATTTTAGAAAAATTTTGCTCCTAGTAAATTTATTTAAATTCTTACTACAGAATTCTAGAGTTTTAATGGTTGAAGAATATATATATATATATATACATATATTTTTATTTTTCATGTCTTTAATTATTGAAATCCTCGATAACATATAATAATACACCACCAGAATAATATCTTATAGTATCTTACAGTATCTAAAGATTGGTTCAACAATCATCTATGTAGATTTCGCAATTTCTTTAAATATTTCCCAGCCTTTCGATTAGAATGCAAACGTGGCGCTTGAAAGAAAAGAAAAATTCTTAAGCGCCTTTAATATTCCATACGTGGCGTGACAGAAAACAGTAGCTAATCTCTTATCTGAGGGCGTGGGTAGGTTGCATTATAAGTTCAACTAGTAACTTGCTTAGATTGCACTTACTTCTCTTTTAAGTCAGATCGATCATGCTACGTTCGTACGGACCAAAAATTTGCATAAAAATCATATCATATTATATTCTAAGCAATCGTTGAACTTTGATTTCAGATACAGTCCATGTCGAGCGTTCAAGATGGAGTTGAATGAGGTAAACGATCAGGCAGGACAGAGGGAGGTGATCGCGGAGAATTTGCAAGCAAACGTACTAAGGGAATTGAATATTCTCGTGAAGGATTTTAAGGAGGATCGTAAAAAACATCTTCAAGAAGGCGCCAGATTAATGGCAAACCTGACCGGTCAGATTGGAAATTTGGAGCGTGCTAGGAAAGCGTACGAAAAAGCTTTTCGTGAGGCGGAAAGAGCAGTTGAGAATTATCAGAGAGCAGATGCTGATTTGAATCTTTCAAGAGCGGAAGTAGGTGGATGTTTTTGATCCATTTTCACTTTTGCACCCTGAAAACTTACCCTCTTAATTCTCTATAAGTGGAATTTATCTTGTTTGCAAAGAAAGAAGTTTTAATTTTTAAGTTTTTTTCAATCTGAAACTTGGAAATTAATCATCATTGTGAATAAGCCATGTAATATCAATACAAATATGATGGTAAAATAATAAACGAATAAAAAAAGTTTTAAAAATACAAAAAGTTACATTCCAAATCGTTAAAGTGTTATAGAGGATTAACTTGTATGCATAATGTTAATTCTGGATGAAGATCGTTTCTTTAAATAACTTATTGAGAAATAAAAGTTGCATGGTAGTTAGCCAAACTTTACATGATTTATTTCATTTTTAGGTCGAGAAACAGAGGATGAATATGACTTTAAAAACTCAACAGAGCGAGGAAGCCAAGACAGAATATGCGAATCAATTGCAGAAAACAAACGACATGCAAACATTGCATTATCACACGGCTATGCCAGAAGTGTTTCAACATCTTCAGGTATAATATTGTAATATTTGTTCTGTTATTTATTGAATAAAATTTACCTCTTGAAAAACTTTTATATAATTTTAACACTCTATATATCTTGTTATTAGGAGCTTGATGAAAAGAGAATAAAAAATATGCGAAACTACATGCTAAAGTCTGTGGAAATAGAACGAGCAGTGGCACCGATAATCGCTCAGTGTTTAGACGGTATTGAAAAAGCAGCAAACGAGATCAATGAGAAAAAAGACACATTATTGGTAATCGAACGTTACAAAAGCGGTTTCCAACCTCCAGGAGATTTTCCGTTCGAAGATCTTTCCGTGGCTAAAACATATGATAGCAATAGTCAGCTGTCACAGCCTGTAATGCAACCAATACACAATCATCATTTGACAGTGAAGGGTACTGTTTCTGGTAGTAAAATTAAGAAGAGGGTCGGGCTGTTCGGCATATTTAGTAGCAATAAGGTAAATGTTGTTCATAACATTTTACCAATTAGTAGTTCCAATTTGTGTTATAAATATGTTTGTGAAAGGAGCATTTGTTCAATCGTTTTTTTTTTCTCTTTTTCTGTCTAAAAATGTAAGAACGTTAAAAAAGTAAGAACAAAAAATAGTTACAATAATGCACGAAATGTCCTTTTGTCTTACTTTTGTTTCTTTTTTTTTTTATATTGTTATTCGAATCGCATATTCGCACCATTGTCGAACAATAAGTTTGTTATACGCATAGATTTTCAATAGCATGAGCGATTAGTACAATTTTAAATTTTCTTTTAAGCGATTGTGTTATTGTTAAATTCTTTTTCCTTTTATCTTTGTGCATTAAGGCGAAAAGAACACAACACATATACCGATTCGATTTAGTTCGACCAATAGTTTACTTAGCATCGCGCCAATTTTCGCGAGGCCAGCATAACTTATCTTTCTTCTGTACTTTTTATTAATTTGGTGGATGGTTCGATCTGCCTGTGTGGTCTCTTGTTTCCAATCATCCGTGGACTATGAATTTGGATACTGTTGTACTTAGTAAGTACACTACAAATCGCTTCTTCGCCTGCCACTGTGTAACATCAGCATTTTGTTCTGCATCGAGATATGTATCAGTAATTACGTGCATTTGTTAGATTTGTCTTGTTGGTCGAGTACAAACTCAGAAATTTGCATTGAAACAGTAAACATTTCCACTGGTATTGCAATAACTATTTATCATATTTCCTTTGCTGAGTTTTTACTCAACGCTATCGCCTGAGATCCGTTTTTTTCTGATTCATTCGCTGAATGATACGCTTTTGGAATTTGTTTCATGCGAACAACAGAAGTTGATCGAGGTGGGCATAGCTTTGAAGGTCTGTCTATTTCTTTATGGTCGTCGTTGTTTTTTCGTATGACAGTCCTTACTGACTGAGTCCCACTGTTTTTTCTTTATGAAATACTTGTCTTTATGTATATATTTTTTTTATTTTATTAATAGTTTATTGGGCTCTAAGAATGCTCCTGATAATGACGCATAATGCCGCGTCCACATTGGCCAAAATTGTTCGCAAACAGTTTTGTTATAAAAATGTTTCAACTCACGTAGGTTCTGAATTCGCGAAAAAGTGAAACGTATCGTTTTCTAAAATCGAATATCATTCGTTGTTCAATTTCTCGCGAAAGTGTCCACTCTGCCAGGCGAGCATGGTTCGCGATCTATTCGCAGTGTGGACGTGGCAAAATATAATTGGTAAAAGTTGAATTTTGTGTTTGTTAACTTTGAATTGGTAAAGTAGAATTAACTGTAACTATCTATGATGATCACGTGCTTTCTTCTCTTTTATTTTCCATCATAATTCATTAGATTCTTCATTCATTCATTTTTGAAACTTGGATACTTAAATTCAAACATTCCAGAATAATGTGCCCGGATATGGCGATGGTGCGAAGGAGGACTGCAGCGATCTACCACCGAATCAACGCAAGAAAAGACTTCAACAAAGGTTGGACGAAATTCAAGCAAAAATTCAACAAGAGACTGCGGCAAGGGATGGTTTGATGAAGATGAAAGGGGTGTACGAGCAAAATCCTGCATTAGGCGATCCAATGAGCATAGAAGGACAGTTAAATCAATCGAGCAATAAACTGGATAAACTTGGTGCAGAACTGGCAAAATTCCAAGGTTATCTCGAAGAAGCAATGCGCGCCGGTGTCAGTTTATCCAGGTGATTTTTAGAAATTTTATAGATTCATTTATTTCACGATCTACTTATCGTCAAATCTATGATTTAAACTTGTATAATTTAAAATTTCTAGTCCCAGTCAAGCACCACGAAAACCAACTAGTAATGGTTCCGCAACAAGACCGCTTAGTTCAAGAAGATCCAGTCATTCGGGAGGAGAGGAAAGTCTTTCGAGATCAGCATCTGATTCCAGTGTAAGCAATGCGAATGCTAATCAACCGATACACAAGAAAAGTGCTCCGGGTACACCGCAACCGACGCATGGGTAAGTTTTAACTAATCATTGGATTAATTATATTTTGGATTCTACTGATTTATAATATCGAATTGTTTATGGACTCCATTTAGAATTTTTGTGATAGTTTTTTTTTTCGTTAAATAAAAAAAAAAACATTGTGATAATGATGAGTTTTTGAATAAATCAGTTCTAAATACAGATTAGAATTTTTAACTAGACCAATTAGACACGCTTTTCGCTTTACGGTACTGATGCACAGTTCCACGAATAGCCCGGAATCTGGTCTTGGAGAATCGAGGACATCCCTTCCTGGTAGTGGTGGCGAAGAATATTATGTTGATGAAATTGATGCTCAACCACCGTTAGGAACATGTAGGGCTCTTTATCCTTTCGATGGTAAGTATATATCATATCGTCAATAATTTTTATAATAATTTTTGTTATTTTTATTAATAATCTGGAAAATGTATAAATTGAAAATTATGTTTTTAGCAACTAGTGAAGGTTCCATCCCAATGTATGATGGAGAAGAATTATATATGATTGAATTAGATCAAGGAGATGGATGGACGCGTGTACGGCGCATTTCACAACCAATCGAAGGCTTTGTACCTACATCTTACATAGAGTGTCATCTCTATAATACTTAGCCATTTCTTTTAGGACGTTAAACAATTGAGAAGTGGGGAAGTTTCAAGATTATTTATGCTATTAGTTCAATACGGTATACTGAACGATTAAAAATAGCAATTCACGAGAGTTGGAGGTTCTATGTTGAGGATTTGGTGTTGATTAAAATTGGCACTAGTTTTTAAGATGTATTCTGGTCAAATCATGGGTCTAATCCCATAAAAATGTCATTGATATAAGTGAAAATTAATATGTGCCAATACTTTGATTTTTGGGAGAAAATCTCATGATTCGTCAAAGATTCAGTCAATTGTTCACCCAACATACCTCTTTTTAGCTTCTATCAAGTTTATTGAACAAGAAAGAACAAAGAGAAAATAAGTTTCATTTTTAATATCTAATTTCTTTTATACAAAAGTGATCAATATGTTCAACTCACTTAAATATTAAATATAGTAAGAATAATAAGATCGTACAACTATTTAGAATGCTGTTATGCCCAATCATTTTAAAGAGATTTTATCATACACGTACGAAGTACAGTACATTTTTCTAAGAAAAATACTAAAAGCACCCTGATCACTTGGATAACTCTAAAAATATGTTTTTGTAATTTAGATATGCACAAGTGAACAATTTGCAACTTCATTATTGAAAGTATAATAAAAATAATAAATATCTGTCGTATAATACACATACATACACACACACATATATATATATAACATATGCTCCGCCTACATGTCACGGATAAAATTACAATTGTTGTAATGACATGAAGATTTATGTATTTTTTTTTTATTAATTTTGTTGTAAAGCAGGCAACTCACGAATAGATCCACACTATCTCTGCTGAAGTTCAAGAAACTACTCAATTTTAGTGCTTTTAGAATAAATTTTTATCTAAATGATTTATATATATATATATATATATATATATATATATA